GGGAGTGTATGCTATTGATTGATTGTGTTTTGTAGTGTTGAGTATCCAATTGATTGTGCTTTGAATTGCTAGATGGCTGATGTGTTATGCTTTATAGGGAGTAGTTTCATGATTAGAGTACCAATGAATGAAGGATTTTATTCTTTTCTTCCTCTTTGGTGAGTTGATAACGTTTGCTATTTAGGTTAGGACATCTATGCGAGATTCTCTACCCAATGTCGGAATTTCAAATGTTTACGAAAAAATGTGCTCAATTTTGAAAAAAGATGTTCTCACATGAGAGGCAACCGGTCATAGTGTTTGAGTTTGAGTTAATACATCAAAGTGCTTTTCTCTCTGTTTGGAGTGCCATTTGAGGATGTGTTTCACGACTGGATAGCTTTACCGCATCCCGATCATCTTTACTATTTTTCATCCCCCAAATACCTCTCCTCCTCACGGACTCGTATGGCAAGGTACAAAGTACTTTTTAGCGAGTCACGAGACCTCGGTGCTCGTTTGAACCCGACATGTGTGGCAACTCGTTTGTGGTTGAGACAAGGAGTGCAGGCTGGGAATTGGTGCTAGGGCAATGAATCCGACCATCAATTTCCCCAAATGGGACTGATTCCAGGAAGGCAATAATTCTTCCGCACTTGGTCATGAGGGAGAGCCGCCTTAAAAATTTGCAAATGTTTGGCGCTAAGCATGTTAAAGTTTAAAAAAGGAGATCCAAAATGTTGACTCCTATCTTGAAAGAAATAATAAAGATCAGCTTCTTAAGAGTCCATTGTTTTATCATTTTTGAGAACCCCCTGGTGCACACCTTTAATGTCCAAACCTATTTAGTCGATGTAGTCCTCATCCGAGAGTTTGTGTTTTCACAGCAAGATGAGAGAAATGTTCATTCGTCTCCAACTAATCTAGTCCACGCAATGAAGAACTATAGTGCATACCACGTTGATTTGACTATCAAGTTGTAATGGTTTGAGTAGGTTTGATTAGGGAGAAGCAAACGCCTAAGCATGGACAAAGTTGATAACACCTAAATTGGTGTAATTTATTCCTCATATCTAGGTTCCTTTTGACTCATTTTATTTTCATAATGATTTATTCATCGTCAAATAAAACCCTATTTTGTTCCTCGAATAATAGATATTTATATTAGGGTGTATTAGGCGATATACGCGAATTAGGTAGCAAAAGGATACAAGTATAGCCAAGCAGACGGAAAAAGCTGAAGATCGGGATCTTCACAAGGATGATCATGGTCGGGAAAACAGGGAATGAAGAAGGAGCTAAGAACGAGGCCCAAGGAGCAAAGATCAAGCCCGCGAACTTTGACAGTTTGGGATTGAAGATCAGAAGTGGCCAACACGAGAGAAGTAGAGGATTTGGCTTGTCGACTCGCGGCCCTCGTCTTCCATCCTGCGAGAAAGACCATGGTCGTGACTCACGGATTGAAACTGTGAAGTCACCCATCGATCCTCCCCTTGGAGTAAGAGAAAAACGGCAGCGGATGCAGATCGCAGCCTCCTCCTTCAATATTGCACCCTTGAACTTTCCCACCATGGTCGTAAACTTGTCCGTATTTGGAAACTCTACAAATAGGGGACTCCTCTCCCTTAAGAAGATGGCTTTTGGCAGATTTTTGGTTCTAGAGAGAGATTAGAGAGAGAAGCTGAATCTTTGAGAAGAAGTGGAGGAGAACTTCCACCAATTGAAGACCCCTTCTTCATGATTTTTTCCCCTCTTTGTATGTCTCCCTCCCCCCCCCCCCCCCCCCATGGAGTGATCTCTCAAGGTACTAGGGGTTTAACTTTAAACCCCCAAACACTAGAGTTCTTTATGCTAGGGTTTATGAATGATATGTGTTTGTTCTAGTAATTTAATGATTCATTTATGCTTAATTATGCTTGGGTAAGTCTCCCTACTCTTCTCTACTAGCCTATGATGAGCCAACGATGGGTAGGAGTTTTAAAGTTAGACTGGGTAGCGCCAACTGGTGGATTAAGGTAAGACGAATGATCTTAGGGTCTTGTAGTGGATGAGACAATCGTACCCCTGCTACAAGAACACCTTCCTAGATGATGTTTTAGAGGAATGCAAGTGTGTATCAATCCGTCTCTTTAGTATGCACGATAGTTAGAATATATTGAAATGAGCTAAATTCATAATGCCCGTTATAGGTTAGTATTGACTGAGGTTACAATGGGTCTTGGGTAGGGATGGCAACAAAACCCGAACCCACGGGTACCCACCCGACCCAACCCGGTCAACGCGGGTAAAAGCCGTGTTGACGGGTTTTGGGCCGGGTTTGGGTTTAAACCCGTTCACTATTCATCGGGTTGGGTTGGGTTTGGGTTTAGGTAAACCCGGCCCGTGGGTACCCGCCCACTCATATAATTAATTCTTTCGGTATATTTAATATTCTAAACAACTATTCTTATTTATGTTTGTGGAGACATGTCTAATTTTTTCTTTTTAATTGTGTAGAATGAAGTTGATGTTATGGAGTGGAGACTAAACTAACTTAATTGAAAGAAAGAAGCTTTCAATTAAACATGTTATTTATGGATAATTTGTGATTTGCTTCAATTTTCATGAGTTTTCTAGATTGGTGTTGAACAATTTGTATAGTTAATTTGTGATTTGCTTGAATTTTCTAGAATTGTGTTTTATATATGGATAATTTATATTGAGAGATTGATATTTGACTTTAATTTTGATAAGAACTTGTAATTGTAAATTTTTTACGACAAAACCCGTGGGTACCCATGAACCCGCGGATACCCAACGGGTTGGGTTGGGTTTGAGTTTTTCAAACCCGGTGGGTTTTACCCCGGGTTTTTTTCAAAGATAAACCCATGGGTTTGGGTTTGGGTTTGGCAAAACCCGACCCAACCCGACCCATTGCCATCCCTAGTCTTGGGGGCATGTACTCGGAGGTGTGGGATAACGAAGAAGACACCATATCCGATAAACCCAACATAGTTAGTCATTTGCATGTTAGACCTAGGATAGGGAGTTACCCCGAGTACCTCTTCCTTTCTATCGATCTTTAGTTTAGGAATCGCCAATTGGTCACCTGCTAAGTAACATGTTGACTAGATAACAACTGAGCCTAAGTAGCCTAGTATATCGTGACCCTTTGAAACACGAGCTAGACACTTTACTGCATCTCTAACTTGGTTATGAACATTTGAAACACGAGGAGTATTCAATGGCTTTGTTGAAGACATACCAAACCTGGACAATATCTTGTGGATGTAACTCTTCTATGACAAGAAGAGCTACTTCTCCCTGTCCCTAGAAATCTCGATACCTAAAATCTTCTAAGCATCTCAAAAATCCTTCATCTCAAACTCAACATTGAGAAGCCCCTTTAACTTCTGAATATCAGACTTCAACTTCCCAGCTATGAGCATATCATCCACATATAGAACCAGATAGTTCGATTCAAGTCACATCAACAAATCCCCTTTACCTCCCAAATCCCCGTGACTTCCAATCGTATCCAGATAGTATGATTCAAGTTACATCAACATGGACCATATAGAGACTAAGTCCCAAGAAGCACTTGGTAGCTCCCTGACGGGGTGCCAAGCCAACAAGGTGCAAGGTACCAACTTGATGAGAATTTTTTTAAAACTTAGGGTTCGTTTGGAGGTTGAGATTTGAAGTGAGGTATTTAGCAAATACATGTAATGATAAGATTAAGTCATTTTTTTGGTTCATTTTGTGTTAGAATGCATGCATTACCTTTTTGTTGGGCCCACCTACAATCACTCAAAATGAATGATTATAAATCTCTACTAAAAGGTGAGATTGTTAATGAGGGATTGTCTATCCTACTTTTTGTTTCATCATTTCCCTTCCAAACAAAATATTTTCCTAATACATGCATTGAATCAATACATCAAATGATAATAAACTAATTGACCTAATACATCAATTTGAAGAATCACAACTTCCAAACGACCCCTTAGTATGAAGACCAGGCTAGTAGGGTTGGCTTGGTAGCAGGGGATAACAAGCCGATGAGACAGGCTTCGTAGCCAGGCAGGTAATAGGGTACCAGGCTGACAATATGAGCTTGGTAGCAGGCGATAGGGTATTAAGCTGGCCAACAAGATGATGAGGCAAAGTATCGAACCCCAAAGTGGAAGAAGTTACAAGTAGCTTGGTAGCAAGTAACAAGCCGACAAGATGATACCATGTCAAGTCTCCCAAGACTAAGTGTGGAGTCTTTGTGAGTAAAGGGGCTAAGTTCTCATCCCTTCAAGACTGGTCATGGGAAGGTGACAAGATGGAGGGTGGTACCAACATGAGAGCAACATGGAGACTAACTATAAGGTCTACATGGCTATCAAGGAATCGTAGTGGTAAGAAGCAACTTGATAGAGGCAAGGCAAATAGGCCCCAACCTCATCTAGTCAGGACGAGGCGGAAGATAGATCCCAACTCAACACCAGTCAAGCCCGATGCCAAGAAACCCAGAGGACAATTACCAAGCGGTCACCAAGGCAGCAATGAGGACCCCGAGGCAATTTGGAGTGACAGGCTAGCTAGCGGTTACCGACATTTACACTGGTAGCTATAAATAGGAGAAATGAATACAGAGAAAAGGATTCCACAACCAAACACTTGGCACACAATATCAAAATTTATCCTTTCTCTACAAAGTAGCCCTAGACTTTAGGGTTTGGAGCTCACACGGAACCTGCATAGGAGGTGTAATTAACGTAGCTTGTTCCCGAAAAAATCATCAACAACATCAAACATCCTTGTTCGAACATTATTCGAAAAGGTGTGAACCGTGTTATTAATCATTGTTCAAGAACACAAAGTTTCATTCATTGAGTTCACAAGAGTTATCCTCGCTGAAAAAACACAAACACATTCCAATCTGAATCTGAACCATGTTAAAGTTAAAGTGTAAGTCACTCTTATTCTTTCCTTCGATTTGTAAATTGTAACACAGGAGAAAATGCAGAGGAGAAACAGAGGCGCAAAGTTAATTAATGGTAGTATGTGGGATCCTGCAAGAGGTTAGGGAAATCCAGGAACACGTCACGCCGTTCATCTTCATTCAGTATCGCTTCCACAAACGAACTCACATTGGCATACCCACCACCATCAGCAGAACCAGAATTCGAACACCCAATCACTCCCCTCGACATCCCTCCTTCCCCTGCCGCCGCCGCCAAACTCTGTTGATCCCCTGAAGACGAAAACTCCCCATTGTTCACGTTCAGATCGCCATCATTCTCCGGCGGGAACTGAGCACCACCACCAGCATCGTCGTCTTCCAGGAGGAAATCCCGCCAGCTGAAGCTCAACGGTGGAGTAGTAGCAGTAGTTGTTGTTGTAGCAGACTTCTTCATCTCGGCCGCGGCGGCGGCGGCCGTGGAGCAGGTGGAGGAAGAGGAAGAAGAGGACGGGAATGGCGAGCCCCCCACCGCCGCCATACCTTCATCGTCATTGTAGTAATTGGTTTCACCTCCCGCTGCCGCCGCCGCCGCCGCTTCCGTCACCAATTTTATGGCCTGGAGCTGGTCCATGAGATCCATGGACTCTTCTTCTTCTTCTCCTCCTCTTCCTTCTCCCTTGTTGCCGACGAAACACTCCGTGGTAATGGGGAGAATCTCTTCTGGCTGTTCCATGAAATGGGCGGCGGCTGTGATCGACGATTGAGGGGGAAGGGAAGAGTAATTGTGTTGCTGATGTTGATCAGGATGGTTGTTGTTGTTGTTGTTGCTAACAAAGAGATGAGCAACGTTCTTGAGGTCTCTGCTGAGGGACCCAATTGAAGATCTGGTTGCGGCGGCGGAGGCTGCTGAAGGCCTGGAGAGGCCGCCATTGATGTTGCCGTAGTCAGCTAGGATTTGGGAGAATGGCTTGTGGGTCACAGGATCGATCCCCATTTCAGAGAGCTTCTTTCTCAGCTTGGTGTTCCAGTGATTCTTCACATCGTTGTCTGTCCTCCCTGGAAGCTGCTGTGCTATTATCGACCACCTACAAAAACAACAGAGGAAAAAAGCTAATGAAAATAACAAGAAAAATGTAACCCAAGAAAGGGGTTTGAGGAAAAAAGCTCGAACCAACCAACCTGCTGCCAATGGCGGCATGGAGCCTAACAATCATCTCTTCCTCTTGTTGCGTGAAGCTTTCATGGTTGAGATCAGGCCTCAGGTAATTGTTCCATCGAAGCCTGCAGCTCTTCCCGCATCGCCGCAATCCTACCAAGAGAGAGGGAGAGGGAGAGATTTATAGTATCAATGGAAACGTGATCACAATAGAGTCATCAATCCTTTTCTCGCATCTCATCTCAGTCACATTAGAGTCGGGATGTGTGAGCATGATGCTTATGCTTATTGCGTTCAACAAGATAGTCAAATTGACGGCATAAACTGACCTGCTTTTTTGGGGATGGAAGTCCAATTACCAGTTCCATGTTTGGAAACATAGGCAAGAATCTTGGCATCTTCTTCAGGAGTCCAAAGTCCCCTCCTCAGGTTGGCATTGCCACAGCAAGCTGGAGGCCTCACCATTTCTTCTCGTGGGTCCAAAAGATATTAAAAACAGAGTGACCAACAGTAGAGACAGAAAATGTATCAGAACATGAAGTAAAAAAAAAAAAGCAGGGGAAGAATTGGGTTAAAGGTTAATAATACTTAATGTAATGGGAATGCTAAAGAGAGGGTGAATAAAATGTGAAGCAACTTTAGGGTGGAATCAAACTATAATCTTCTTCTTCTTCTTCTTCACCCCTTTGGAGCTTTCTCTCTTGTGGGTAAATGTGGAGGTGTGGTGACTTGTAATATTGGAAGTTTTTTTTTTACTGGTGAAGGCAAGAAGAGCATGAATTCTTTTCATCTCTCTTTCTTTGTTTGTTTTTCTGGTTTGAGTAAAGTTGTGTTTCAAAGAGTATTTTTTATGGAGGTCAGGTTTAAATTGGGTGGAAATTTATTTGGTTGAAAGTTAGTGTTAATCTAAGTTAAGAAGAATAGTTTCCAAATGTCATGTTGATTAATTGTCTTTTGTAATCGGTTTCTTTAGCAACACAAAATAAATGATTCTTTTCATATGTATTTTTAAATTACTTTGTTTGAGTGTATTCCAACATTAAAAATTCACTCTGATTCATTAAAACCTCTTGGGAAAGTGACTCGTTCTAACTACAACATCTCGATCGACGGTCAAGTATAACCGCCAACCAAGTGTAGCATAGGGCAAGCAAGCAATAAGAATTTATCATACCACGGGGATCTAGACTTACTCTACTTCAGGTTAGGGTTCATTATCTAGCCAACCTAGGGTGGTGATTAGAAGAATTAAACTAACTAACCTAGCTAACCACTAACCTAGCTATTTACAAGGTTTGGAGCTCTCTTGGGTTGAATCGTCCTAGGTCCGTTCTTTGGATCAATATTGGGTATCCTCCTAGTTCGATCCACTCAAATACACTAACATTTGGAGATGGACTCCTCGAGAGTGACCCGATACGGCGAATCGATCGATGGGTAGTGCTCTATTCAACCTAAGGTTTCGTATAATGCTAGGAGACCGGTCGAATAAAATCCCTCGGGGACTACCCGGACAATATACGATAAGAGAGACCCGAAGACGCCAAAAGGGGCTCTAAGGGGATTATCTGCCTCCTAGGTCAAAAGCTCAATACATAAAAATGGAAACCCAGCTCATGCCAATCATGAAAACATCCATCAGGTAAGTAAAATTATCAATCAAACATGGAATGTGTCACATACATCAACATTAAATCCAAATCTAGACCTATGGTTCTCAAAACCAAGAGAAGAATATGAGATTCTAGAGAGAAGAGAGGGATTACAAATTTGAACTCAAGATCTTCTTCTTCTAGGCTTGAATCCTAGTCTTCAAGATCAACCCAAGCATCCAATTTAGCTCCAAGATCACTCTAGCACTCTCTCTCTCTCTCTCTCTCTCACTAGAACTCCCCTTTGGTGTTTTGGGCTCAAAGCCTAGAGAAAGAAACCAATTTTTCTCCAAAAACCAGCTCCCCTTTCTCTCTCCCCGCTAATGTCTTCATATCTGCCCGAGAGTGACCAGTTGACGGACGCGTGGCCAGTTGACGGTCGTGAACACCTAAACGCGTCCGTGAACTCAGTGTCGTTCCAAAACGCACTGCTTCGCTTCTGGTTTTCACGGTCATTGGCCCCAGTTCACGGTCTTAGCGACCGTGAACTCCCTTGGCGTTAGTAACCTTTGAAACCTCGCTGGACTGCTCAATGTTCACGGTTTGTGGTTCTAGTTCACGGTCTTAGGAAACTGGGATGAACGTGTCATTCTTGTCGATACTTCTACGGCCACATTGGTATGCGATTGTAGGATGTTTAGAACATTCGGGGTCTTATGTCGGCATATGCTTAAGGTGATGCGATTGCTTGGAGAGTTTGGGAACGATAGTATGAGAACTATTCCAGATCATTACATACTCAAGCGATGGACGTTGGAGGCGAGAAGGAAAGAGGTTGGTGATGCTGATGATTCAGGCGATACTTCACATAGTCATGAGAACGAGACGGGAAAAGGAGATATAGCAATGAGGTACCGAGAAACCACTGCAATGTTTAATCAGCTCGCAACAAAATTGTCAATGGCGGATGAGAAAGTGTACAACAGGTGGATGGGAGCATTGCAGAAAGTGTGCAAGGAGGCAAACAAGGCATTGTCAAAGACTATAACTAGCGAGGACGATAAGTGTATCGAATATTTTTTTGTAAATTAGTATAAGTTAATATCATTGGACGGATTACTTAAGCCACTAACATTGTAGGGAATTATGTACCAACAAGTGGCCTCTCTCTCAAGGAGAAGAGTTATCCAAGGAAGCACGGCAAAGAAAATTATAAGTCCACGAATGAGAAAGAGCGTCGTCGGAAGAAGATTGTCTATGGAAAAAGATTGAAAGCATTGGAAGTGCTCACGCAGGAAAACCATTTTCAACATGATGACCATCTCACTGACTTGGAAGACGACCTTGCTGAATTTGGGTGTGGATATTAGTTTGTCCAACTCGGATATTTGTTAAGCAGGCTACGATATTTCTCTACGTTGTAAGGATATTAGTATGCATTGTAGGGATATGTCTTTTGGTTCTATAAATATTATCTCTAAACATTCGGATATTTTTGTTATATTTTATGTATGTGGTTGTGTGGATTTTATGTATTTCCATCAAATATGCTCAGATTTTAGTTTGGGTGTTTTGGATCACTTTGGGTCATAGGATATACTTTTGTTGAAGGAAAGATATTCTTAATCCATCCTTGATAAAAAAAATCAGGGACACACTTACTGTTGTCTACTTTAAACTAATAAAGCGAGCAATTTAATCAACATAGTTAGTGTCTACTTTTGTCCAAATGTTACCAAAATAACACAATCAGCTTAAACTAATAAAGCGAGCAATCAGGATAGAGTTAGTGTCTCCTTTTCTCCAAAACTTCCCAAAATAACCCAATCACCCAAATACCTTAACATCAACATATGTCCCATGAAACATAAGGAGGTAAGTTTCAGCTTCTCTTCCCTTTCTCCTTATATGCTGCCCACTCATTTGCCTCCTCAAGTATGACATTCCTTACTTTGTTGTATTTCCATTGAAGTCGCCTGCAATAGATGCTCGCTGGTGCTCCACGTTTCTTTCCAAGTGCCAAGTTTCCTTGTATTCCGATGGAATGTGACCCGCCCAGTGCTCCATGAACATGTATGCGAACATTCCACAGTCATCGTTTCCTTTTTGTTGAGGAAAATCCACAATTAAGAATTCCCAATCATGCAAGGGAAAATCGATGTTGTGCTTTGCAAGGAAAGCAGCCCCATACTCTAATATCAATTTTCCCCATGGGACCGTGATCCACCTTGGCCACTGCTGGCTTGGGTTTCATGTTGTCTAGAAGGAAAGTCTTCTGACTCCTTAGATCAGCAGCGTAGACCCGGTAGTGTTTGTCTGTTTGCACAGGGGAAAAAATCTGAAACATAGAAAAAAAATCAGTTATTCTCTCGGATAAATATCCAATAAACCCAGACTAGTATCCAAAACTAACATTTCAGATATTCACAGGCAAATCTTCAAACAAATCAGTTATTCTCTCGGATAAATATCCAATAAACCCAGACTAGTATCCAAAACTAACATTTCAGATATTCACAGGCAAATCTTCAAACAAATCAGTTATTCTCTCGGATAAATATCCAATAAACCCATACTAGTATCCACAACCACGTAAATCAGTATCGAGATAGAATAAGGATTCACTTACATATTCTACTTTGTCCCATACAACATGTTTGAAGACTGGAAACCGCTGGGTCAGTTCAATGACCGCATCGAGTCTCTCCTTGGACAGGGGCACATTCGTCTGAAAATTAAGTAGGGCAAGTTGTTGTTTGCAAAGTAAAATAATAGCTAATTAGTTACTGAATATCTAAAAATTGTAAGGTGTGAGTGAAGAGCCTACTTACACCAAAAGTGAACGGAAAGATAACTCTGTTCTTGTCACCAACAAGTGCTTTGTCGTTCAAGAAATGACCATAAGCCTCAACCACTTGTAGATTGACCCACTCTAATCGCTTCAATGTCAACAGATGAGGACGGGCCAGTTTAACTGAAGGAGTGTGCACCACCAAGCCCTTACCCTCAGGGGTACTGAAGACGAACTCAACCATAAGACGAGCAACTGGATCGAGCTTTGGCGACACATCCTTCGACAAATAATATACTGATGAAAAAGTCATGGTGGAAATAAGTCATCTGGTTTGAAGCGTACTTGGCTATTACTTGATCAACTTGCTACACACACTTGGAATGCAGAAATGAACTTACAACAAGCTCTCAATGACATCTCTCCTAAACTTATAAATTGGAACAAACTGATTTTTGTCATCACTCATCACAACAAAAAGATGTTGCTAGCTCGACTTCATGTGGTTCGCAAAAGGATTATTAACTCTTTCAAACCATGCCTCCTAAATCTACAAACAAAACTTGAAAAGGACCTTGATTCGCAATTAGCTCAAAAGGAAGTAATTTGGTATTAGAGAGCAAAAGATAAATAGGTAAAACTAGGAGATCAAAACAGTTATTTCTTTCACTAGAAAACTACTCGTTATTGTAGACGTAACAAAATTCTTTCACTGTGAGATAACAACAATGATTGGGTAGAAGATCCAGGAAAGTTAACGAAGCTAATTCTCAACTTCTTCTCTTCCCTCTATACACAAGACAATGCTTGATACTATGACCATATGCCTAAAAAAATCTTCCTGAGGCCGAGGCAAGAAGACTCCCTCCTATTACTTCACCCTTTAGATATCTCTGACATTCATAAAGCTATTTTTTATATGAAACCCTTCTCGGCTCTAGGACCGGATGGTTTCAAGAGGGTTTTTTTATTTACAAAAGAGTTGGCCTTTAGTAGGAAAGAGTTTAACTAATATGGCTACATCCCTCTTTCATGCAGCTGCAATCCCTATAGAGATAAGGAGTCTACCATTGTACTCATTC